CAGAGGGGAAAAAAATAAAGTAACTCACTTAAGTCACACTATGTCTTTAAAGAAGGGCAAGATGAAAGCTGAGAAGTTGGCATGATGCCTTCCAATACTCATAACAAAGCGAAAATATATCACCGCTTGTTTGCTGCCCTAAGAAATTTCATTTACTGCCAGAGATTCGGATCCTAACTTCAATAAAAAAATAAAAGGGAGGAAGAGAGCAAAATCTGAACTGTATATAAACTACTCGGTAGCACCGATGAGCATTGATCAGATGCCTTTAAATCTCCCTTCTAAGGCATTTTTCCCCAGCTATCAACACGGAATTTACATGACAACGATAATGTCATGCTGTAGAAAACGAAATGTCATTTTCCAAGCAAGGATGAGTTGGTATTTCAAGTTTCCTCTGATACAGAGAAAATGAAAGGCAAGCCCCGAAGGAGCAGAAGCCCCTGAGCTCATTTCCATGCTGCTCTAGGAAGGTGGGTTATGTCTAGTTACACTATTCACAGCAAACTGTAATTTAACTCGTGCAAACAGATCCATCTTTCAGGAACTGGTACACAGTAACTGCACAATGTGCAAAGCATAGCACATCCGATTCACAGGAATTAAACACATCACAAATGCTCCAAGAGCAACCCTGTGCATCCCAATAAACAGCTCGTTTTGAAAGTAACCTCGCAGCTGGCAAGTTATGTGCCCGGTATCAATAATCCTTGGATTATTAAGTTGCTAGAAGACTGTAGCTAAACTACAGGCAGGAACACTTTGTGTTAACAATACTAAACTCCTAACCTATGCTTCCAACAGGAAAATTACTGCGCACAGAGGATCTAATTTATACTTGCAATACGCAGTATGAAATAGTTGTGTTATCCTCGCTTTATAGCAGAGGGAAACAAGGTGGAACCGTCAGTTGGCCTGCTCAGTGACAGAAAGGATCAGCTGGGATCATGTCCAGGCACAAGGTGCTGTCGGAGAGGTCCTCAAACACCCGAGGCATCCGCGCGGGGCTGGCAGATGTGACACAGGACCCCTGGGAGACGTATTCTCTCAGAGCAGCAGCTGGAGGCCACGTGAAACACCCAGGGACATCTCAAACAGCACTGCGCATCTGCACGGAGCAACTGAACCAAGCGAGGGGTGACTGCATACGATCCCAGCTTTAACCTCTGGGTTTTCTACTCCTGGTCGGTTTCAGAACATGTGATCAAACACAGCCATCACACTATGGCTTCTATTAGACAGATTTCCCAAGATGCGTCTCGCTAGAGAAGAGCGCTGCAACGGTACCTTTCTTTTTCAGTTATGAAACGCCTGAAGCGTTTCAGAATTTGTTCTGCAAATCCATTGTTAGATGAAGGCTTCTGCACTTTAAAACACTTCAGCATGTGCTTAGCTGGCTGCATTCACTCAGAGAGAGATAATGACGTGCTTAAAGATAACGGCGAGGTTAAGTATCCTTCTGGAGCGGCTGAGGTGATGCAGCAGGAGCCCAGGGCCCACTGCACCTCCTTGGTTATCTGTGCACTCGAACCCATGCTGCACAGCTCAAGCCAGCATTACCCAGCCCAGGCATGGAGCCGGCGACCGCGTCTGGGCTGTTCCCAGCTCTGCATGCATTTCCCCAGTCTGTGGAGACTGCGGGATGCTCAGATAACCTGACAGATGAAAAAACACATGCGGTGATCACTGCTGGACCCTGCTTCGGTCACCATCACTGATTTCTGCCGGTATAGGCCTTGCCAAGGCTCAGGACACAACATGCTCTGTGAGAGAAGTCCTTGTCTATATGGTTGCTTTTTTTCTTTAACTCCAAACAAACAGCTTTTTATTTCAAGCCCACATCACCAAATCCATCTCACTTCCAGCTTTCTCACAGCTGCATGACACAGCAAACCATTTAATGACTCCTTAGACATACTTCCAATTTTGAAGGCCACATTTGCAGCGAGGGGAACGCATGGGCCACTTACAAAAGCCATCTTTTGTGACGGCAAAACAGACGGGCATTCAGCTGCAATTTTTAAAAGGAGCTGGGCAGCCAGTTCCCGTATGTTCCTTCAAAAATCACAGCTAAATTAGGCCAGCTAATGTTGCACAGTTCACTGGACAATATCAGCATGCTCATTCATATGCATAAATGCAGATTTTCATGTTTTCCTAAGTGGTACCCTTTACAAGGTCTGACTTGCAAAGTTTGTAGATTTTTCTTTTTTTTTAATGCAATTGTCCTTGTCATTGAAGAGCAATTCACATGCAGAAAGGCACTCTTAATTTCTAACCAACTCTTTTATTACATTAAACAAGGTCAAATATATAAAAATTCCAAGTTATGGAAATATCATCAAAATATCCCTCTCCCTCACATACTTGGAGCATATTCTATTGCTGGAAAAAAGAAGCCACCTCACTCAAACCGGAGTAATCCACTGGATTTAATTTTTTTTTTTTTTTTTCCAAACTGCATCCAAAACCAGAGAATGACAAGACAAACCCAAGTTATGTTCAGTATTTTTTGTCCAAAAGTCTCTTCTGAACGTTTATTTTGGAATGGCCCACATTAAGCCAAAGCAAGAGAGCATTTCAAAGTAATGCATGTATCATTTCTTCAAAAGGAAAAATCAAGCCTCATACTTTGAAACTGAATACAGTCACAGACATGAACATTTAGAGCTTTAACAGACATCCTCTACTAATAACAAACACTCAGTTTCAAAGAAAATGTGCACTTTATATACAATTAAAATGAAAACAAAAAAACAGTAATAGAAACATCTCCATTACTTTGCATTTTCGGAATGAATTCAGTGCTGGGATTGGAATACTCTCTACACTCTGCTCGCTAACGGGAGTTTTTACCGGTGTGGACAAAAGCTCACAGGACTGACCCGAGACGGTAGCTTTAAGCAGGTAACGGTTTAGACCATTAATTGGGAAAGGGCTAATACAAACAACAGGGGAAGCAGCTGTCATGAACCAATTTTATTTTAAGCCATTCAATAAGAAATTGCTGCAGTTTGCATAGAGAGCAGCAAGGGGAAAGGACTTTCACTTCTTGCCATTCGCCTGGTGAGAGGCTGTTCTGAAACAACTGCAAAGGATTAAGAGCAACGTAATCCTTTTGGGAAGCTGAAAAAAACAACCCACGAGTGGATTGTAGTCACCATTGTAGCCACGCATCCCTGATTATCTCCAGGCTCCCAATGTCTGTCCCTAGTAATTCAGACATGTTTTCCACCCAGCTTCTCCATCATGCTTCCAGCTTTCTGCTAGCAAAGCCTCTCTGCCTATCTTCAGGCAACGTGCTTCTCTTCAGACTCCTGTTTAATTAGAGGAGCACTATTAATAAACTCTCTCACCCCACACAGCTAGTGCCATGTCCCTGCCCGCAAGTCCACACTCAAACTTTTAAAATCCGCTCTATACTTACCGTGCTCCTTACTTAAAGACATCACCCTGAAACTTTTCTGTGTAAAATTCAGAGGTTGCTCCCTTTCCTGGAGCAATGGCCAGGAGTTAATGCTAAACAAAAAGCCAGAAAGCAAATTCCCTTCCAAACGCCTCTGCTGGAGGCGAAGCGGAGAAGCTCTGGCTGACCTTGCACCAAGGGCTGCGTTGGCTCTGGGCACACTTTCGCCTCTTTAAAGCAGAGCTGAGAGACAGCTGGGATCTATGCCTTGACTGCCTGGTGTCCCAGAGTGAAAACAATTCAGCAAAATACCTGTTTTCAGCAAGTGCTTGGGTAGAGGATAACTGCAAGCATGTGCTTGTATCCCCTTAGTTTAAATATAACACAAAGCCTACGCTTAGGTGTTCTGCAGGACAGGAATGGAGTTCAGGTTTACCTGTGCCCTCCACAGAGCCTTACTTCTCAATCCTGTTCCTGACCAGGCTGTAACGAGGGCGCTAAGGACTGAGGTAGCCTTGAAACAAAACAGCCCTGCTTGAAACAGACCCCCAAAATACATTAAAATGTACAACCTAACAAAAAAAAGAGAGAGGAGCAAGGTCCTGAATACATTATAAATAGTAGCAAAAAGCATACACATTTCTCAGCATCTCTCAAACATTAATGTGCATCCTTGCCAAAAAGATACCGCCGAAGGCAGTAAATACCGCATTCTCCTTTTTCTAATTATAAATTCAAGTTTAATGCCAAAACAACAGAATGCCAAATCTGACTGGTCTCTCAAGCAGAAATCTAAATCATACATATTGCTCCGTCCACACTAAATTCCTCAGACATAATGGAAAGAAGAGGGGACTGGAATAAGGCAATACCACTGATAATCCGAAAGGGCTTTGTAAAAACTCTTAACGACAGCTCGTGTGGCCTGGCTGGGGGGAGAGGAAGGTTATTCCTCAAGTGTAATGCACGGAGAAACAAAATTACCGTGACTCCATCTAACTAGATTACTTCGGAAAAGACAAGAAATCCAAAGGTGTCGTAACAACTTTATACCCTTGGGGAGCGGAGCGTTATGTAACAACAGACCTCAAAAAACATCCATTTCCATAGATAACACATAAATACGTGGAATTACTGAATCCAGTAAGTTCTATTTACTTTTTTTTTTTTTTTGATGTTTTTACAAAAGTTTGAAGTCTCTCTTCCCTCCTTTTGCATAAAGCTTGCAGGGAGGTCTAAGCCCTCTCTGCATTATGGCTGACACTGCGAACATAAGTTACTCGCACACACACAAATTTTTCCTGTAAGTAATTTTCCAGGGGCGGGGGGGGAACCCTATAGTACTTAGTAGCTATAGTATGACACTTCCATTTTATAAGTAGCACACCATTTTTGTAAAAGACAGAGTCGAGAGCACCATTGACAGATGTTTTCCCAATCTTTCACTGCTCTGCTGCTCAGTGACTGGCACTCGTGGGCTGCCTGGATAACCGGAGACTCCTCTCTGCTGTCTGCATGTTCAAGGCACTTTTGAAACGCAGCAGAGAGAGATTTACATTTAAAACAAGGAAGAACGACGACAAAATGGTAATAAAACTAGCAAAATGCTAACAGCTACCCATTGCTTTCTCCTTGTTAATATAAAAAAGTGTAACGTCAGAGATCCAGTGTACAAATACAAAAAATTGTGCATAATAAATGTACTATAATACTGTACATACAGCATAAACCGTTCAATGAGAATGATTTAAATATATCTATTTGTCTCCTGACTTGGAAGACAGAAGAATAAAGTTCTATAATCCTAGAATATGCATATAAAGCCTTTCTGAGAGGTTGAATCACTAGCCAATGGTATCCCTGAAAATAAGCAGACTCAAATATTTACTTAATGGAAGCCATTATTCAAGGGGTTGCTGGTTATGATAAACTAGGAGAAAAAACCACAATATATAAACTCAGCCAACGTTAAATCCAGACAGAGTTCTTCCCATCTCCTGACTTGCTACTGGCACTGCTTTTGTTTGAGCCTGCTTTGGATTTCTTCTCTCTGGAACTGCTGGGATTGTTTTGGTTGTTGTAAGCCTGGATGGCGAGGTCCAGGCGCTCCTGAGCCACTTTAATTTCCCTCTGCAGATTTTCCAGGTCAGCGGGAATGTTTTCCTCGTTGCTTCCATACTGCTGTTCCTGAGCTATATTGGCTTTGTTCTGTTTGTAGGCCATTTTGGCGTTGGACAGTTCAGTATATTGCATTTGCTCTGGTTTGACCGTGATGTTATAGCCAGGAGGAGCAGATGGTGTATTCCAAGTAAAAGGGTAGTTATAGGTACCAGAGTCTTCCAGATCTTTTCTCTTGCTGTTCAACATGTCCCGGATTGTGCCAAATCCCAAATGGAGCATCTCCCAGATATTCAAAAGTAAACACATGCAGCTCACCCCATACATTATGAGCAGGAAAATGGTCTTTTCAGTTGGCCTTGAAATAAAACAATCTATCTTGTGCGGGCACGGCTTTCTGCTGCAGACAAATATGGGGCTGACCTCAAAGCCATACAAAAAATACTGACCCACAAGAAAGCCGATTTCAAACGTAGTCCTTGCCAGAAGTTGCAGGACATAAATTTTCATGAGTCCATCTTCACGGATTCGCCGCCTGCCATCATGCTTAGCTTTGGCAGGGGCCTGCTGCTCTTTATTCTCCCGTTGGCTTTCCAGCTCTATTTCTGGATACATCATTGGGTCTTCCTCATGGTCCTCCTCAGTCTCCTCTAAGCCACGGTGTTGTTTCCAGCGCATGGAAAAGCTTTTGCTTCTGGTTCTTCTGTCAGCTTCGCTGTGTTCCACCATTCGGGCAATTTTATGAATTGCGTAGCCTAAATACATCACAGATGGAGTGGCAATAAGAATGATCTGAAATACCCAAAACCTCACATGCGAAAGAGGAGCGAAAGCATCATAACAAACATTCTCGCAGCCAGGCTGCTCCGTGTTGCACACAAACTTGCTTTGTTCATCATAATAAATGGATTCACCTCCCACAGCAGTTAGGACAATCCGAAAAACAATCAACACTGTCAGCCAGATTTTGCCAACAAAGGTTGAGTGATTGTGGATCTCCTCTAACAGACGGGTCAGAAAACTCCAACTCATGGTGGTTAAGTAATTTTACCTAAAAAACAAACAAAACCCCCAAATATTTATGATTTTATCAGCTTGAGCCTAACGGTTGCAAACATTCAACCAAGAGAGTCAGAAAACTCTAGAATTTTACAACCAATACATAATCATTTTTGTAGCGTCACCTGTTACTGGGAAACTCCAGCTGCCAGAATTTGCTTGAAGATCCTATGTCTCCTCCGCAGGCTTTTGAGAAGTCTGCTATAAAAAAAAGTAGCAGTTAACTGCCATTTCACAAACAGCACATGCTCCCAAAGCTACTCCCAAGCAGAGGAGAAGATTGCAGCTGCTCTGTATTTAAAATGTCAAAAAAAACCCCAAACATTTACACTTCAGGTTGAAATCTCCAAAACACTGCGGATCAAAAGCTAAGCTTCCACGCAATTTTATGGGCACTGTTAGCTACATCCCGCCACCAAAAGTAAGATTTATTTTAACTGCACGGATGTGGCCAAGCCCTGTTAAAGCCTGAGCTAGCAACCTCAGCCTCGACCACAGCCCACAGAGAGAAAGAGCCCTCTCCATGGGGCAAAGACCAAACCTGAGAAATAGGTAATCATTATTATCTTTGATTTAAAGAGAGGACAACTCGACACAGGTGGTGACCTAAGCAGTGCTAGCCTGCAGGCCTAGGCTAGAGACAGGGTGTGACCTAAGGAACATCTGACTTCTAACCTGATGCTCAACTATTCTACGGATTGGGGTTCAGTCCCTTAGGGAGGCTAAAAATCTCCCTTCTCGGGGTAGAAAAGACGTTAGTATATATCTTGTAGTGTTATTGGAAGAGTACAGGAAAATTTAGTTAAGAAAAGTTATCTGTTGAAAATTTTAGAAGAGATATTAGGTAGAAATCAATATAAATTTGCAATCCTAAGAGTAAAAATAAAAAAAACCCCAACCATCAGTGGAAACTCATAGCTGGCAATGCTATGAAATATTACAATGAATGACGTTACAGGCCCATCTGGAGCTCTAAGTAATAAAACTGGTAAAATACTGAGCACAGGAAGAACTGTTTGACATTGTTATAGCACAGGGGATAAGACATCTTTCAGTCCTCTGATGATGTCAAACATCAGTTTGTCAAGTATTAATAATAGAAGTTTTTACATCAGAACAATATTTGATGAACGACCTTAAAATAAGGATTGGACAAATCTCTGGTACTCTGATCTTAAAAGTGACTTATTCTTAACACGGAGAAATTCCAGGAGACTGGAAGAAAACTGGTATTTGCAACTATTCAACATCTTCCATGTAACTACAGAGTTACAACACAGGCAAAATAATGAAATTTGAGGAGACAGAATCGATACAGAATTAAAGGATATAAATGTAATCCCCCTTCTGGTGAAATTCAACGTTTCGTTCAACAACAGCACAGACATAACGTGGATGGGCTGTGTAGGACACTTGACAAATGATTCCCACTTTAGAACCAAGATCAATTGCATGTAATTACAGCAAGTTCTGCAAAGACCAGGAACAGGCCTGGCAACTAGGCTGGATTTTCCCCCAGACTCAACCAGAAAATGGCTGCTGACAAGATCTGCAAATGGTACAGAAGTTTGCAGGCTGACAAATAAAGATGAGAGTTATCAGTGATGCAGAAAAGCACAGATTGCTCGAGAGGCTGAGTCCACTGAAACAAAATCCCTGCTTTAACCAAGCTGAACACAAAGACATGCAGCTAAGAAAAAGAATAGCAGTTTTGTCTTGTTTTTTAAAGGAGAGAGCAGTTACTTTGGACATCAGTTAATAGGGAAAGGAGTGAGGGTCCTAATGGTCGAGCATCTTAACAACAGCTGGTGGTACCACAGAGATGATTAATGCAACCCTCAGCAGTGTCATGTGCAATGAGGAGTAAGGAGGGCGATCTTACCTCCTTGTTGGCAAGACAGCACTCAATGTCTGTGTCTGCATCCTTCAGAAGTTGTTTAAACATCAGAGAGTGAATAGATCAGTCTCAAAAAGCTGAAGAACAGGGAAAATGCCTAAAAGTGAGAGATTTAGAGAGTTGAGTTTGTTTAGCTGGGAAACATGGGAAGAAAATGAAGGATTACTGGTGAATCACTTTATCTAGCAGCTGTCAATTGAGCATGCAATCAAGCCAAGGCTTACAATCAATGCTCTTCTTTCTATGCAACCATGCTACCATTATGCCATAGATAAAATTGGCTGAAAGAAAAACATTTTTAACAGGAAAAAAGACCAGAGGGTTCCAGTCCCAGTGCAGCACATGCCTTCACGCTCTGAACACCCATTTCAGAAAGGCACCTGAGTACAGGTCTGCAACCCCGAGTTCTGCATTACAGTGAGCAGAGAGACAGTGCTTCAGATACCTGTTCGTTCGGCACTTACCAGCGGCTCACGTCAGTTAGGAGTCAAAATGGGTGGCATAGCGCGTCTGGGGGTTTTCTACATGCCTGAAGATTCTCCAGTATGTGAAAAGGCAAGAGAAACTCACATCTGGAACTGGGGATTACAGAGGTAAAAGCCACAACACCCACACTCACACTGAACTGCACTGCCAATATAGTCAGCAAACATGGACGTGTAACAGGACATATGTGTTGCTAGCTGACATGTCATGATGTGTCAATTAAAAACGAGACAAACCCCAAATGAGTTTAAGAAGGGGTTCATTTTCACTCACTGAAAACGTTAGGGCCAAACTCTTTTCTAAAAGTAAACGATAGAGTAAATTTGAAATTAAATACTGTTGCCAGTGTAAATTTGGAATAAAAGTAGCCTTTTTAAATTTTCAGATACTGTCAATGTTTATTCATCAGCGGTTAACAACAGAGAAGTTTGAAATTATCACTGGTTTCAATAAGAGAGGGGACACTGAATCTTTACTTTTAGATGAGTTGCTACCTTGACATCTAATAAATTCTTTCGAGGTATTTATCAGCCTTTTCATGGGGCATTTTCTATCTGCAGGCCACACACCTGTGGTTGGCTCAAGGCTTTGAAGAGGAAGACGAGGGGAGGCAGGTGTATCACACCTCGGGTGTCACCAACAGGTGACAGTCACTGCAGGGCACAGCACATCTGCCCCGCTTTGGAACTGGCTCCAGGAGGGAGACAGGGATTCGCGTCCTGGATTCCACCCGTTATATAAATGAAGGGCATGACAAACCTACATATAGACACTGACCGCACAGACTTGTAAATTTAGGTTAACCACAGCCTTCAGATGAGGAAGACAGCTTTATCAGCTGTGTGTTTAAAAACCAAGACTTCCGTCAATTAAAGAGTTTTGGCTGCAGAAATGTGAAGTCACTGAAGAGCCCCGAGTCTCTTCAACAAGAAAGTGTCACTTAACTCTAAATTTAGTTTTAGTCCAGAGTAGAGCTACTGACACAAATATGGGAGAATCCACCAGCAGGCAAAGAACTTCCTCTTTAAGGAAACATCTTGGTTCAAGCGAAATGACCTGTTGTTAAACCCTTCTTTCACTGCAAATGTTCAGCCCATCCAAATTAAACATAATACAAATGCAACAATTTCCAAGCAGAATTATGGCATTTGAAATGGTGGTCTCCTTCAGTTTTGAGAGCTCAGCCAAGGTTAGAGGTTGCGTGTTTCTGTACTGCAGGACCCAGATATATTGCAGTAACCTTCACCTAACGTACACTTAGCATCTCTCGGATTTGTTGTTCTGGCAACATTTAACTCAATAATTTTCCATTGTTTGAAATAAAAGTCTATGGACACTGACACGCATCTGAAAAAGGAAAAATGTCAGCAATTTCAGCTAATTTAAGTCATGCCAGAATGTGCATTTGAGAGAGACTTTCATTCCTTGTATTTGTCATAAGTTCATTCCAGCACTTCCAGTGAAGGCGGCTCCTTAGAGCAGGCAGGATATACAATGCAAGTAACACAACGTTCATCTCTGACAGCAAGTTGGCTCCTCTGAATTAAAGTTTTGCAGACACTGACATCCAGAAAGAATAAAGAATTTGGAGCAGGTACATGGGAAAAAAGAAATCAGCTTTAGTTTAAGAGATTCACTGCAGGAAATCTCTTGAGTTATTTTAACGTGGCTATTGTTCATATACAGACAGTGAATGGCCTCTCATGTGTGGAGCTTCCTCTATCCGGCCCACGTGTGGGTTTGAATATGAATTTAAACATCGAATTAATTTCACCTCATTTCAGCTTTCTCATCTAACTGTGATGGCCTTCTGTGAGTCAGGGAGGGAAGAACTGCACCTGAGAGGAGCAGTTTACTGGAGCAACCTTTGAATCCTGCCTTCGGATGAGACAGTTGTGGCACAGTGTGGCAGGGATGGACAGCAGGACAGGAAGAATGGAAGAAGCCACAACTGCAGTTACTCAGGTGAAACACCCCCAGCAATGCCTCCATACACCAACACCCCCCCCACCCCGAGATGTACAGCACCTATACGGCAGTGCAGCATGCAACAGTCAAGTTTTAAGAACAGCCTCGCTCCAGGCTGTCGAATCCCAAACGCCTTTAGAACGTACAACATCAGAACTCATTTCATGTCATTCCATCAATGACATCGGCAGTGGGACTGAGTACACTCTCAGCAAGTTTGTGGATGACACAGAGCTGAGGGGTGCAACTGATACACTTGAGGGAATGGATGTTGTCCAGAGGGACCTGGAGAGGCTGGAGGAGTGGGGCCCATGTGAACCTCATGAACTTCAACAAGGCCAAGTGCAAGGGCCTGCACCTGGGCTGGGGAAATCTCCAACAACAGCACAGACTGGGGGAGGGATGGATGGAGAGCAGCCCTGTGGAGAAGGACTTGGGGATACTGTAGGCTGAAGAATTGGCCATGACCCAGCAATGTGTGCCTGCAGCCCAGAAAGCCAGCCATATCCTGGGCTGCATCAAGAGAAGGGTGGCCAGCAGGTCAGGGAGGGGCATTCTCTGGGGTCTCCAGCACAAGGACACCGTACCTGTTGGAGCAGGTCCAGAGGAGACCACGGAAATG